TCTTAAGGCCTTAACTTCTGACTTGCTATTACGAAACCTGCAGAACTTGAAGTTCAAGAGCAGAGTATTTTGCTTTGGAAATCCACAACGAAAGTCACAAAGGTGACGCGTGACGGTCCAGGTGTAAGTTCCATATGAAGTTTATGGAGCAAGTGACGTAGCAGGTGCAAGTGCAAATGAGGAGCTTAATCCGAGGATGTTGAGCATGAAGCGCAGTAAATGCGTCCGACTCGTCAGTCTGAGGGAAAGCGGGCAAAGGAGGTGGGTGTTTGATGATAGCGAGGGGGAGATGGGACTTGGATGGGACGCTGGTAGGAGGATTGGATGTGGCCGAAGTGGACGCGGCCCGGGATGCGTCGATTGTGGAAGTCGAGCCACCAAAGTGGGTCCTTTGCTCAAAAAATCGAGTCCTTCCAAAGGTTTTCAATTCCTGCACCCTCTCCCGCCGTGCAATCTTGCCATGCGCGAATGCTTAGGATACTGATGAACGTCGGCTTAAGTCAGACAGTTGCAGCAACCAGTATGAGGAGCTCGACGATAGGCCGCCCCGTTAGATGGCGGAGAGGTGCCGCCTCTGCGTGTTACTTGATAAGGCCAGGTCCTGGAACAATTATGGCAACGACACCAGCATCAGGCCTAGCAGCAAGTACACTTTTGGCGGTAGATCGAAGATCTTCTGTATGACTGTTCATAGATAAACTAATGAAGACCTTGTCAATCTTGATCTCCACCATGGATGTATTGGCTGTGAGTCCCATATACGCCAAGGAACGCTCTATCGAAGCGCGTCTTTGTATCAGGCTGAGGGCCTCTAGGGTATGGGCAAGCACATTACGTGCGTGGGGAGACAAGTAATTAGGTAGGTAGAGTAGCAGTAATGTCCTTGCACACACAGAGAGATACGATTTGCGTAGCGAGCGACAGAATGATCCAACCTGAGGGCAAAACGCGAGGGTGGGTGGGATAAACTCACCCGCGCACTCCGTGTCTTGCTCTGGAGCGGAGGAGTCCTCCCGCGCGGGAAGCGAGCGGGAGCTTGTCACGCTGATGCCGATAGAGTTTTCAAGAAGTGGTGGGTGGGGAAAAGGAAGAGGGCCGGCGACTGTTGTGGTTGAAAAAGAGTGAGTGATTTCTACCTACACTGTCACACGCCCGCGCCCTGATCCTTCACTCGTTCCTCGCTACATTTCAGGGCAAAAACTTCACGGTTTACTCGGATCGGTGCCAGAGCCACCTTCAATTGTCTTCGCAATCGCCCCCTTTCTCCGAAAGGAGATGAGTGGGAGATCTCTCAAAACTGACAAAGGCGCCAAGTTTGACGTTGAAGTTGACTTCCCCACATCCGATATCATTCCTACCGTTACATGGGGCACATCTCCGCAAGATGTTGTCGCAATCACTGACGTCGTCTGGAGCGGTCATTCCCGCACGGGCACCAGCCTCGACTCTACTCATAGTCCAACCGCTCATACGAACCTCCATGTGAATGATGACGACTCGGTTATGGACATCTCGGATACTTCAAAGCATAGATGCCTTTGAATTGCGATTGAAGCCTCTAAATTTGACACAGTGCGAACGGCACTCGCAAATGCAATCTTTCAGACCGGCAAACCCCGAGGAACTAATTAATGAACTCTTGTCAGCTTGAGGAGATGCCAAGTAACTTGCCTTGGATCAATTGAGCCTGCCTGCACGTCTCTAAATTGGCTTGAAGAACTTAAAACAAATCAAATCAATAAAGGCCACGAAAACAAATCAATTGCAAGATGTAAAATACGGTACTCAGTGCCCTTATTTTTCTTTTGAAATCCATTCACATGTGAGGTGTGCCATGTCAGGATGATGCTCGTTCAAGAAGTTAAGTGCCAGCTTTTCCATGTTTTGATTGAGGGAGCGCGTCTCTTTGAAACCCCTCAACTGGTCCCGCCATCTTGACACAGGCTCTGGTTGAGCTCCATGTTGCTCTATATCCAATAGACGACGCCTATATCTGGCTTCCCGGTACTCAGTCCATCGGCCATAGTTTTCCGCGCAGTCTCTTTTCTCAAACAAAATAGCTGGTGGAAACCAAGATTTGTATGCTATGACGGGACCTTCTCCTGGAAAGGAGAATGATCTTCAGTGGCTGACCCGCTCGATGTATAATTACGTACCTGTGTGACAAATGTATGTACCGCACAACAAGTCCAGTTCCAAATCTGTTAGGTCATCGTCGACAAGCATATTCCCAGAAGGGTGATAAACTTCTCGCATGGGTCCACCACCCACAGGACCACCCAATACCTTGTCAGCATGCATAAAGCTGATGACTAACCGCCATGACATCCCCCCTCGAAGCAAAGCTGCACGGATACGTGGTTGACGGACCAGAATCTCTCGGAGATGAATGTAACTATCAAAATCGCGCTTGCTAAAAACATAATGGGGGCCATGAGAAGGGAGCTGATAGATGATGGGCATACTAGGGGGGGGGTTAGACATGATACTTTTCCATACCAGTGTACGGAAAGGCACCCCACGCTCTATCAAAAAGCGGGCAATATCAGCCTCCCTATAACGTGGATCAAGTCTACAGACCAGAAGTACATCAGCAGCAGTAGTCACCGCGAGCTTCCAATGCACGGTCGCCTCACTCTTGAAGTCGAAAACAAAGATCCAACGGTGGTTGGCTTGAATCTGTTCGAAAAAAGATAATGACACCGATTTTAGTCGCTTGGAAAACACCAAAGACTCGCGGTTACTTGGTGAAAGATCCCAACAGTCACTTGACGGACATTTGCCAGCTATCAATAGTTTGACAAACTGCAAAGAAAGCCGGGCTATATCGGACGCCTCAAATTGTCGGCGCACTTCTGGCTTGCCATCTGTGTCCAAACCAAGCCAGCGGCCAAAGCGTTGTCCATCTTTCCAAGAGAATTCAGAGAGTGATTGTGGGATGGGAACTGGACGAATCAATCCATAATGTTCGTACAACGTCTCACAGACGCCAATTTGCAACAGCTCCAGCGATGATGTCG